AAAAACCCCCAAGTGGGGGGGACACCGCGTGGGCCGGGCCTCTCGGGGGGGGGGGGGCGCTTCCCCCCCCCCCAAGGGAAAGGGGGGGGGGGGGTGTTTTTGTGAAACCCCAATGACATCGTCATGTTGGTACCTGTGAAAATAGGTGGCAGGATGTAAACGTTACAGGCAGAACTGTGGGAGGGCTGGGATGGGCAGGACCTGCCCAGGTGTGATGGTGGCAACTATCTGGCACGTGACCAGAATCTTCTGTCTCCATCACAGTTCCCAGACGCCGTGGAATTCTGTGAGGAGATGGCTAACATGGGAAAGACCATCATCGTGGCCGCGCTAGACGGCACCTTTCAGAGGAAGGTAAACGATACATATTCATTACTAAAAATCTATTACAAGCTATATTTTTTGGGGGCAAATACTTATTATAATTTGATGAGTCAGTTGCCTTAATGAGTCACAAACAACATGCAGAAATATGTGACTTTGGAGCAGAAATATTTGTTGGACACTAAACTCTGAACTTTGAAGCTTTCGACCGTTTCTGAACGGATTATTTTACTTTGAAGAAGGCGAGTCGGATCCTGTCGGGTGTGTGCGAGTGCTAGGAAAGTTAGCCTGGCCTGCTCAGAACAGGAAGGAGCCTCGTGCTGAAACTCCCCGCATTCCCACAGCCGTTCGGGAACATCCTGAGCCTGGTTCCGCTGGCGGAGAGCGTGGTGAAGCTGAACGCCGTCTGCATGCAGTGCTTCAAGGAGGCGGCTTACACCAAGAGGCTGGGGGACGAGAGGGAGGTGGGTCCATGTGGTGGGGGGAGGGGGAATCGCTACCCAATGAAAGATCGTCTTTAACCTGAATTTGAAAGTAATAGACCACAGAAAACCCAGAGGTTGGTGGGAAGTGATGCAAATGAGCACGTTTTGAGTAAAGATCGCATCTGATGTATTTTCACTTTCCACTACTTTAACTAAAATAATCCAGCTAGTTCACGGAAGACCACAACATTTAATTATCCACAGGTCATTTCAGCTACACATGTAACTGTTTGGTTGTAACTTTAAAACGTCTCGGCGTAGATGAGGAACGTGTGCAAACGGCTGATCTTGTATCGCGTTGGGAGGGATGAACTGACCTTCTGCATCTCTTACTGGTTCTTTCCAGGTGGAAGTCATAGGTGGCGCCGACAAGTACAATGCAGTGTGCAGGGCCTGCTATGGAGGCCTGCTTGCCGAGAAGGAGAACAGCGCCCCCTGGAGGGAGGACACTCCACACAGCGTCCCCACAAAACAGCCTGACTTTGGTGCTTCTCGCAAGCTTCTGGGGACACTTCAGCTCTGAGGAGATGCTCCAGCGAGCTCAGAGAGTCACTACAGTATGCTGACTGATCCAGTCATTAAATGAGATCAAAGACCTACAACCTGAACTTGTGCAGAGAGCGTGTTAGCATGAACTGAGACTTTTAATAGTACAAATGTATTTTATGTGCCTTTTAAAACGGGTATCTTCACTTTTTAAACTTTTTTTTTTACTAGCCGGAATTGATCAGTGAAAATCTGAAAGTTAGGATGTGGTTCTGTTGTTCATGGTTTTTGTTACCTGTTAACTTCACAGTATGATTTGGAAAAATTCTTGGTTTTCTGGTCACTTTCTTGACGTCGCGACGACACGTTTGGCATTATTTATATATCCGGACACAGAAGTGAACATTGCGTGTCCAGAAAGTAAAAATCCAGGCTAAGATTGTTTCAGCTGACCAGTTGAGCATAAAGAGTCAGAGTCACAGATACTCAGCTGGTTGGTTGAACTGTGAGAGACAAAATCCTGTGGGTGCGGATTCTTATTTTCTGGACTTGAAATCCCCACCTCTGCCTGGGCAGACAGGGTCAGCCCAGGATTGGCCAATCTGTGGCCAATCATATCACGAGCTGCCTTCAGAAATGTCTGCTTACTTGGGTGTTTGTGTGTCTGTAGACTCTTGTTTTAATTATTAAAATCTTTTAATTGAAGTGTTTGAGTCTGGGGGTGTTTTGGGAATATTCTTCAAAGAACAGGAAAACCAATATGATTTCATGTAACTGTCTTTTAATGGTTTATGGAGTGATAGAAATTTACTCCAGTGTGAAACAATTGGGGTTACTGATCAGCATGTCGTCCATTAACTTCTAATTGGAAAATCTGTTTTTTTTGTTAAAAAAACAAAACAAAACCGGATATACAGGCCAGGCAGAAAACAGGCATCCAAATGCCAGGAGCAGAAATGAATAGCAGGTTACAGACAATGATTACGATTTAACCACTTTATGAACCATAAAAAATATACACCGTTAAAGGAAGAACAGCACCGTAGTCATACACTGAAATCACGGTACACTGAAAATTTTTAACTTGGGGAATACAATCATACAAATAAAGCCAACGCCGGCACATTGGGCTGTGGTATTAAAAAAAAATCCTTAAGCAAGTGTCAAAACCAGAGGAAAAGGTTTACGGCTATGTGAGGAACTGTAGACTGGTATAATATTTGTAGTAAGCGCATAGAGTAATAGAAGACAGGGTGCCTTCTAAATTAAGGGGGAAAGATATTGTATGTGGTGCAGCTGATATTTTTCTAACTTAAACCACAGATTGTGCCATTATCTTGTGCAGTGAAATGTTCTAGTGGAAATGCTTAGATGTCCTGATCAGTTCCAAAATAAAAGGTAAATGCAGAATGTTCATAAAGGCAATCGGAAATTAAATCTATGTGCTGACCTTTCTAAGCTGTCAACCCCAGCGTGTAAGTTACAACTCATTAGTAAACTGCAGACGCTGTGAACCTCGTCTAAGTAATACCAGGATGGTCTCACAGAAGTCTGTCACCTCGCATAGCTGAAACACCTCTTATACACCGAAACTACACTACTCACTACTCATGGTATTCAAAATGTGCAGAATCATACCTTAACAGATTAACTAATTTTTGATTAAAGTAACCACTGTAATTAAAAAAACAACAACACTAATCACACCAATATGAACACAGGAGCATCTTCTCTTGTAGGGAAGTGTGATTCTGTATATGCAAATGTGCTATTGGTTAATAATTTGACCTTTTCAGATCAAAAGAAGACAAAGCTGTTGTGAAGCGGACCCCATTTTTAACGGTCTGCCGTCTAATGGCGCACCCAGCTGTGACCCCCCCCCCCCCGCAACAGTGTAAGACATGTGTGGTTGATGGCACTTGTTAATTAGCTCTTGTTTTTGGCATGCGACGCGAGGAGCCACCTGTCATGGCACGGCCCAACATGGGCGAGGAATGGGCAAAATGTGGCATTTGGCAGGAATGCGAGTTTCAGGTCCAGCCGCTGATATTCCGCTGAACCGGGCCAAAATAAACGTAAAAAAAAACAACAGCAGACTAGTTGCAGCTAAGTATAGATTCAGTTTGTACAAATCCTTAAAAATGCATCTTAGAAGCACTGATGTAAACAGTCACGCCCCAATCCCCGCAATTACACAACCCACCGCCATCGTTAAGATGTGCGACACAAGGTTTGAGAATCGTCTAATGTTTTGGATTATTGCTCATGTGCTGTTGGAACAGGTCTCTCACCACCAGACCCTGAAATCGGCATTTAGCTCCAAAGATCCCTGGCTGATGAGCTTATGGCCGCATCCATAAATCGCTAATTTGCATTTTAAAATACTTGGGACCAAAATGAAAACTTGAAAACTTTGGCGTTTACCCCACACAAGCAGGCACAGAACAAAGTACAAAGTACATTCTGAAAAAAGCAAGCACAGTGTCATAATTGAGACCTTATTTGATGTTTTGTTACCCCCTCCCTGCCCCCCCTCCCTCTCCCCTTCCACCCCATCTCCTCTTTGGCCAAATAAATACCACCAGCACACCCCCATCTATACCACTATTTCATGGAACTCATTTAATTGGCTAAGCCAGACACAGGGCGGAGCTTCATTGCACTGGCGGCGTTTCGTCATTGGGCGGCTTACACCTGGTGTCACCTCCCCGACCCCCACCCCAATTCCATTAGTAGGAGGGGGGCAGGTAGGATCCTTCACCCTGCTGCTGCTGCGTGCCGCTGGTGAAGGGAGACTGCTGGTAACCCTGAGGAGCTCCAGTGGCATAGGGCGGGTACGGAGTGTCGTGGGCCGGGTCGGCATAAGTCTGCCCAAACTCCGTCACCCCTTGGCGGTACCTTCCCACCGCGAAGAAAACCAGAAGGCCCTGTTTGGGGGAGGAGTATCAATTTTGAAATCTTATTTGCGATGGTGGGGGAAAAAAAAACGTCAAATACATCATATTATAACTGGTTGCAGGATTAAACTTAGACAGTAACTTAGACAATTCAATTCAATTTTATTTATATAGCGCATTATCACAACATTACATTGTCTCAATGCGCTTTACATTTCTGCCTCGTAAGGACCCCCCATTGAGTAATAACTTAGACAGTAACTTAGACAGTCCCCTTGTATCTGCGATTTTTTCCCAATTGTTCCTTCATCCTTTGAGGGGTATAAAAAGCACGATTTTCATCCGTCCGACATCCCTGGATGGATGATTTTTTTCTCATCTCTTGAGTATTAGGTTAAATATCAGAATCCCTTTCATTCAAGAGAGTACAGTACTGTACAGTACTGCAAAAAAATGTACTATGTACTTTATCGTTACTATATTTAAAGCTAGTAATGTCTTACTATGCATTATTTATCAATTGCCATATGTAAGTACATGAAAGTGAAATAATGTCCTAATAAAATAAATTTATTAAAAAGTACACAAAAGTCATGCTATATATGAGGTCCGCGGACGGTTCGCTATTATCCGCAGTTTCGGCTGTTTGTGGTAGGTCTTGGAAAGTATCACCCACAGATACGGGGGAATACTGTATTATATAGATTAATTTAAAGGAAAAGCCAACGGAAAAAAAAAAAACGACCGATTGACGAATCGATTAATCGTTCAACCAATCAGCAGAAAAGTCAGAGTCTCACCCAGCTGACGGTGGAGAAGAAGGAGAAGGCAACGGCGCCACGGGCCGCGTCGGCGATGACACCGTTCGTCACGTTGGTTTTAGCCCACTGATTGGCCAGGTAGCAGAAGCATACAAACCACAGGAATGTCCACGCTCCTACATTAGAGACCGTGATGAAAAGTAGAGAGAGGGAGGGATGAATATGGCCTCCAAATCAAATGACTTATACACACTTCTGTCATGTTCATTACCCAATAGGACAACAGTTACAACAGCCAAGTTCACGAGTATTTAAAGGGCCAGAGCACGTCTCTAACTCCAAGCCACGTTGACAGTGTGCCCAGCCGAGGACTGGCAATAATTTGACAAATGGCGTACCTGAGAATATCAGGTCTGCACTGACGATGTACTTCCTCTCTTTGGCATTGCTGATCTGAGGAAAGTAGGCATCCAGGACCAGGAAAATGACGCACGCCAGGAAGGCGATCACACCAATAGTCACAGCGTAGCTGCAGGCTCCGTCGTTCTGGTTAAACATGCACTTGGCATCCGGGGTCGCACTGCCCGTGGTGGCATAACCCTCGGCCACAATGGTGGCGAAAACGATGATGGCGAACACCTGAGAACGGCAGACAGGGACGTCAGCAGTGACAGTCACTCATTTTCTGTACTCCAACATTACATCATAAAAAGCTCATGCAGCTCAACAAGTAGAGCACTGTGCAAAAGACAAAAAGGTTGCAGGGTCAGACACAAGGAGCACAAATAAATTGTAGCCCATCCCCCTATTCTAAGTGGCTTTGGATAAAAGCATTTTGCAAACGCAGAGATAAATGTGCCATCTCTACATGCGCATATGGCATTTTACAGTCTATCTATGACATCAAGCTATTTCATAAAAATATTGTTTGACTTGGCAGTTTCACAGTGATGGTGATTCTACTATTCAATCTGCACCAATACCTCACATGAAAATATCTGACTTTTCCACTTGTCAATGAAAAGAAACGCGGGAGTTAATACAGGCAGGTTTGTGAAAGCTTTAATTCCACCCCTATAATAATAATAATAATAATCGTTGCTTTTTTGTTGCTCGTCGTGAGGTTGTTGTTAATGTATTGTTTATTATTATTATTATTATATGGGTGGAATTAATATCCCCAGTAACAAGCACAGGCCGAAGGAGAGGATCGTCACAATTAGCTTGAAGAGGAACATCCAGAAAAAACAAAACAAGGCAAAAGTGAAAAGCTGTGTAACAAGCAGGCATACTCAGACTTATTGTTATTCCATCAAAGGGGCAGTAACAATTCTTTGATGTTAAGTCTAGCAGCACTTGATATTACTTTTAATAAAGATGGCAGTGATAATTGACAGCATTGCACTTGTATAAGCTCAAAGAAGCAATTAATACAGGCTTCAGTGGCAAATCCAGCTATCAACTAGGCTCACTTCCTCAGATGCCAGAGCAGCCAACCGACACTCATATGGCTCCTCACGTGACTAGCTATTCCCTCACGAGGCACAAAACTCCCCATTATGCTACCTAACGAGGCTTTTAAAGAAACAGCCCTTCTTCTGTACTTTCTGTGCTTAGAAAAGACTGTTGGTCAATACGGCAGAATCACTGTACCTTTAAGTCTCTTAAAGCTACAGAATTATCCCTTCAGTTTCGTTAAAAGTCTTACATATATCTGAACTTTGACCCGTTCCAGGTGTGCTAGAGTCTCCTGCTGAAACGCACATCAATCACACCAATGCAGGAATAGATCTTGCCATGACGAGTTTTCAATGTAATGCGCATGGAGGTTTAAGACAGAAGAGAACAGATTCTGTTTCTTGTTAAGTTTCACTTTGGCTGTCGTGTGGATGTGGGGGTTTTAAATGAATAAACGGCGCGGTTCCTTTTTTATAAGCATAAAGGCACCTGGACTTCTGGGGGTTTTCCGAACGACACCCAAGGTCACCCATTAAATAACGCTTTAACTTTAATGGTTAATTTCACGATGTGCGATATATTTCATAAATCATGCCACACTGAAACCTTAAAAAGTCAACACAGTTAAAGTACCCCCACGTGCATATTACTTAAGTACTCAAGAAAAGCCAAGCAGTACTGCATCCCCCAGGGGTGATGAATAATGTAATTAACTTAGGCTCTCCGCTCCTTTTTTTTTTTTTTTTTATAAATCTTTAGTGATGCTTCTGGCCTCCCCTTACTTAAAAGAAAAACTTTATTAAAATTACCAAGTCTATAAGTCTAGGTACTAACAGAAATATCGTTAAATTATATAAGATGAAGTGCTCTGGAACACCTTGGCTAAAGGCTATTACTTCTTAATAAAGATCAGGCGCTCGAAACTCAAGGGTAAATATTTGAAGGGAGGAGCGTATTATGGGGATATAGGTTAGCAAACAGATTAATATAAAGTACGGGTATTTAGCCTTATCATTGGTTTCTACGTATATTATAGCGCATTAGATGTTCTATTATTATTTTGCTCGTGAGAACAGGTGGGACACCGTAGATGTAGGTGTCTCAACTCATATCACACATTTATTGCAGGACAAAATAAAAGCAAACTGTAATAGTAACAAAAATGGACCCGCGCTTTTATTTTCTTTTTAAAGCGTTAAAGTACGCATAAGCAATTATAGCGAGCGAGTTAACACAAAATGTTATAAACCTGAGGTACACTGTATGATTATACAGTAATTTATAACGCCAGAGCGCACTTCAGGAAATGCACTAACCCTGCGGCCTGCATCTGCTCATTTCAGTATAGCCTTTGGTCAACAAGTTGTCGTTATGTAGGCTACTCACCCAACTCAAAATCCGCACTATAGTTTGGGGCTGTTTCAAAAAACCAAGAAAATCGAAAGCGCCCCCGGCCAGCGAGGCGCCGTACGCGCTAGAGTCCATGTCCGGATCCTAAATCGCTCAGATCCAAAAACATCAAAGTGAGCAGGGCTTCTGTTAGGCGCTCGCAGGTTCGCTCTGACTGCTCAGGTTGCCCGATCTGCCGCTTCCCGAAAAGCGCAAGAACCGCCCAGCGCGGAAAATAACACGTCAGGGGTAACTATGCTGAAGAGTCTTTTCAGGGAACAAAGCAAAGACAGATTCGCATTCGCTCTTTAGCAAAACGCAAATAAATAGGCTATATGTAACATGTATGTCAAAATTAAACAACAGCCAAAAAAAGCTGTGCTCTTTTACCGAGCTGATTCTTAAGAACTGTAACTCTCGTGGGTTGCTGTGGAATACAAGTACCATCTTACTCAAGAGTTTCATAAGAAGTTGCCACAAAGTTGTGCTACTTCCGATTACATGTTGACGATGCCATTTTGATGTACACTAAATGAATACTATGCGATAAATAACCTGCAAAATCTCCTTTTATTCAAGGTAGCGATCTGTCGACATTGCATGCCCGCTACCTGCACACTTTTTCATAACTGACAAATGTGTTTGTAATGATTAATATCCCACTCTATCCTGTTTGTGGTAGTATGTACATCATTTCTGGCCGCATAAGCCCATCGGCCGGCTGACTTTCATTTTGTTACTTTAATAATCCATCCTGTCACATTTCATTTCGTGGCACCATCCACTTTTTTGCTAGCTTCTGCTCGTGGTTTTTAAAACCGGGTTCAATTATCAGAAACCATTTTTTGCAGCTTCAGTAAAGATGTAATTATGTCATGCAGTTTATTTTAGTGAGAATTTTACTACGTCACCGAGAAACATTGATGAATCAGGAAATAAGAAGTGAGACACACTTGTAAACTGATTATTGATGCAGCAGAACTTGATAATGTGTCTTCTGACTTTTTATTCTATTTTTCAAAAATATACGTCATGCATTTCGCTTTTTTGAAATGTTTCAAAATGTCTAAAACATGTATGGCAAATTCGGTCACGTGAATTTTTTATAGTTTCCGTCATGCTCATTAGACTACCGCCCTAAAAAAAAGATAAATGCAAATATACACGTAAACGTAAAAATAATTCAACTGTCTATAATTCTTCACGTTGAATGATATCGATACTGTACGGAAGGTTTAATTTACTACAAGCCAATCTTCTAAATAATTATTCATATGCAATCTTAATAAGCTTCCAAACTCATTGTACTACAACGTTCTAAATGCTTTAAACAATACACGGGTCACACATAAAAAACCCTTAAGTTAATTATTATACAAAATAATTTAAACATAATTTTTAAATTAGCAAAAATTAACCATCTTACCATGTGATATTTAAGTTGCCTAAGCGGGCAATCGAACATATCAGAAATATTATACAAGACAATGTTTTTAATTGCACTTGCCAGGTTTCAATTTGCATATCCAATACAAAATGGGCATCGGATCTAGCTATTATATTAATATTAATATATTAATATTGTCCTCCTAAAAATCCTTCAACTGAATCCACTAATATATTACTTGTTAAAATGGATCTGGGGAATATTAAAACACTATGAACGTCGTAGAATTTGATGTGCTTGTAATAGACCCATGTTTCAGGCTAACCGTAAATGAAACATAATGTTGTTTCTAAAACATGGTAATCACTTACGAATTCAGTAACTAAGTGATGTTTCTGAACTTGACATAGAGAGAAATATCCGGTTACCATCTGATTCATACCTCGATTGTGACTCTCTGAGCAGCATGTATTTCCCACTGCCGCCACACAGTGTCGCTTTTGCCCTAGCAATACATCCGTCCATTTTCGACCGCTTATCCGGGTTGCGGGGGCAGCAGTCTGAGCAGAGATATGCAGAGTTTGCAGACCTTCCGCTCCACAACTACTTCCTCCAGCTTCTCCGGAGGGGATACCCAGGTGCTCCCAGGCCAGTCGAGAGATAAAATCTCTCCGGCGTGCCGTGTGTCTGCCCCGGGGTCTCCTCCGTAAAACAATTGGTAGGCCTATTAATCTGAAATGTATTAAATTTGCTGAAAATAGGATTTTCGATGTAAAATGTTAACTTTTGCACTAGAAACACTACATAAGACACTGCATAAACAATGCAAGTTATTTGTTCTCCATTCAAAATCGGTTTGAGTACCATTTATGCAATTGGATAAATTCAGTTATACATATATTTCTTTCACAATCCATTCAAATTGACATTGACTGGATTGCTCAGCCTCCCCTGCCCCTGCACTCTGCACACTAGTGTACCATAGTCAGATGCCCAAACCACCTCAGCTGACTCCTTTTGATGTGGAGTAATAGCGGACCTACACTATATTGCCAAAAGTATTGGGACACCCCTCCAAATCATTGAATTCTGGTGTTCCAATTACTTCCATAGCCACAGGTGTATAAAGTCAAGCACCTAGGCGTGCAGACTGCTTCTACAAACATTTGTGAAAGAATGGCTTGCTCTCAGGAGCTCAGTGAATTCAGCTCAGTGGCACCGTGATAGGATTTCTTTGCTACTAAATATTCCACGGTCAACTATTAGTGGTATTATAGCAAAGTAGAAGCAATTGGGAACAACAGCAATTCAGCCACAAAGTGGTAGGCCATGTAAAATCACAGAGTGGGGACAACGCATGCTGAGGCGCACAGTGTGCAGAAGTCCCCAACTGTCTGCAGAGTCAATAGCTAGAGACCTCCAAACTTTGTGGGGCCTTCAGATTATCTCAAGAACAGTGCGTATAGAGAACTTTGTAGAATGGAGTTTCCATGGCCAAGCAGCTGCATCCAAGCCTTACATCACCAAGTGCGGTGCAAAACGATGGATGCAGTGGTGTAAAGCACACTGCCACTGGACTCTAGAGCAGTGGAGACATGTTCTCTGGAGTGACAAATCATGCTTCTCTGTCTGGCAATCCGATGGACGAGTCTGGTCCATAAGGACATGGATGAGCGAGTCTGGTGTGGATAAACTTGACTGGCCTGCACAGATCCCTGACCACAACCCGATAGAACACTTTTGGGATGAATTAGAGGGGAGATTGCGAGCCAGGCCTTCTCGTCCAACATCAATGCCTGACCTCACAAATGCTCTCTTGGAAGAATGGTCAAAAATTCCCATATACACACTCCTAAACCTTGTGGACAGCCTTCCCAGATGAGTTGAAGCTGTTTTAGCTGCAAAGGGTTGGCCAACTCCATATTAAAGCCTATGCATTAAGAATGGGATGTCATGGTCAGTGGGCTAAGCCTGTGTGCTTGTAATCACAAGGTTGCTAGTTCAAACCCAGCCTCAGCATGTCTGTGGGTCCTTGAGCAAGGCCCTTAACCCCCAGCTCCTTGGGTGCTGCCATGAGTGGCTGCCCTTTGTGGACAGCTTACTCTACGAAAAGAGTAAGTTGAGGGAGGCGTAAAAAAAAGACAATTTCCCCTCTGGGATTAATAAAGTGATTATTATATATTATGTCATTAAAGTTTACGTGTGTGTAAAGGCAGGTGTCCCAATACTTTTGGCGATATAGTCTATGCCTCTCCTTACCCTTTAGGCTAAGCCCAGACAACCCACGAGGAAAGCCCACGGGGGGCACTTACATTCGTACGACGTACCTGCCACAGAATGCGTTTAATCTTCCGCAGTGAAACTCGGTTTAAATCATATGATGAGCTAGGGAAGCTGGTAAACAAAATGCTTTCCGCTTGGTGTCTGACTTAGCTATTTAGGGTTGCTGGGTTTTTTCCACAGACCTACATATTTGAATAAAAACCGCAAAACATATGTGTTGGCGCCTTTACACTTAACACCTTGCTTCCGGAACTTCTGTATTTTCGTCTTTTGGGTTCCGCCACTTTTTTCTGCGTTCCGGTACTTACTGAAACTGATCCGACCCAGCGACAGTGGCCCGAGAATAGACGATATCACAAGACCGATAAAAGACTAGATGTTGTTTTAATGGTTTTTCAGTATTCCATTTGTGAATTAGAAAAAAGTAGCCTATGCCTATAGGTTATTGCTTGGAAGAATGATTAAATTAAAATAGTTTTTGAACCAACACATCCTAAAGACTTTTTTTTTTCACCGCACAAATGTTAAATGTCGCAAAATTAGAGTTCCTGCACTTATTTCTTCCCACTTCAAGCACTGAATAAGAGTTGACAACAATTAAAAATTTTCACATAAGTAGTTCAAGGTGGAAGCATATATTGGCTGTATATCAACCGTGTGGTCAGTAAATAGTTGCGAGTTCGCTCATCTGCAAGTTATAATTTACAGCTGAATTGTACGTTATTCTTTCTATTGGATAGCAGCTTGGGCGTAAACGATTGGGGGTGGGGGGTGAGGGAGTTGTAACCCCCACCCCCAATAATCGAAATTCGAACCAAAGTAATCGAACCAAAAGTTATACCCTTGGATAGTGAGGTCCAGTCAGAAAAATCATGAAAGCGGTAGGTAATCATATTTACGTAGGTCTTATACGTGTTTCTGTTTGTGGATGGTGTACTGTATTGTACCGTGCTATTACTGAAATGCACAGGTGTTTGGATTATACGATAAAATCGTAAACACGTTAAAGTTGGATTAATTATTCGCCCTGGTATAGTTTTTATGCGAGCGTAATCAGTATCAGGATTTCCTGCATACTTAGCAATTTCTTTTCTTTTTGTATAATATCACTGGTGGTGGAAAATAATTAAAAGCAAAGATGTCATATTTGTAAATACTCTACTATCTACAAACTCCGCGCAAAGAATGTGGGGCCGGTGTCACCCCAGATTACGTCACCCTTCTGTGTCAGCAGTCGCCAGTTGTGCTCTTTGGTCTCCGATTGCTCTTACGCTGCCGACGGGAAGTTTATGGGCGACTTGTGTATTGTAATCTGGCTGTAATCTACCCTCTTTATTTCCCTCTATGTAAGTCCCCACACTGTAATCCAACATTTTCTTTAGCATATATTCAGTACAGGGTTGATGTGAGTTTGGAGCCTATTCGAGAAAATCAAGCCATCAGAGGGCACATAATTGGTAATGCTTACAGCACATCCTTTGGGACCGAGGAAGAGAAGCAGATTACTTAAACAAAACCCACATAATTTGGAAAAAAACATGCGGACTCCACATATACTGAGCTGGAACTGTGGACCCCCTGGAGGTGAGTGATGGAAGCGCAGTCCATATTATTAATATCAACAGATCAATTAATATCAATTCTAAACCGTTAATAAACCTCTCATCCCTGAAACGTGCATTAGATGAAAACTGTACAGCTGAATGCTGAACATGCATGTCGAGAGGAACAATGTGCTACACTGCAGATTTTATCTAGTACCACCAAAGACTTCCCCTTTTCAGATGGTGTCAGATTAGATGTCAGAAAGCTCATATAACGGTTAAGGAGTCCAGCACTGCGACAGACACCCAGATCTCTCTCTCCTTTGCCATCTGGTCTTCTCTGAACAAAATATTCATTTGGTTTAGTTTTGCTTTTCATTTGCCTAACTGGCTATCCTGAAGTATTATGAAATCAACATCTAATGACAGGGGAAAATCCACGAGGGACAACAACTGAAGGAACAGTGACAGAATTGTAAATTAAACAGCAGATTTTTTCTGAAGGGATTTTAAAATTTCTTCTTAGGTTTTGTAGTCGAGACAGAAACGGGGTTTTGATACAACCTTGGTTTTTTGCTGGTGAAGAAAGCAGCTGAAGAGCATGGAGACACTTGGAAGGGTTCAGTTTGACCTTAGTCCCCATCACATGGCAGCGCCAAGGTGAGTTGATATATTGGACATTCAGGTCACTACACCAGTGTCTCCCAACCCGGTCCTTGGGGACCCACAGCCAGCCCACGTTTTAGCTCCCTCCGAGCTCCCTGTCATGTAGTCGTTATGTGTGCCGTG